TTTTTAAGGAAAATGATTTCTCATTTGCAAGAGAGGAAAATATTTTTCGGACATTGATAAACATTTATAACCTTATAAATTCATTTTTTATTTATTCATTACTAGTAGCGACTACCACCAGTTATCGTTCACCACTAGTCTCCAACATCGACTATTGAGCACCATTGGTCACCACCACTGGTCACTAGTGACTTCCATAATTTGCTAGTTTTTGCATTTTTCTCATATTTAATAATAAAATTTTTAAAATACGAAATTTCTATTATTATTTATGTTTTATTGTCTTATGAGTTAAAGATTTTAATATTTTTTTAACTAATTTTCAATATTGCAAACAAATGATGCAATTTTAATAAAATCATAGCCTTATGTGGGGGATGTGGAAATTTAATAGTAGTATCGAGTATTGATACAATTTTTAATTTATCTTTTTGAAATTTAATATCATGATATATTTGATAATATTTTAGGAAATAATTTCAAATTTCACAAATTAGCATTTAATTTTCAAAAGTGAAGAAAAAGTTATTTTGTATTTTAAATGAGTTGATAATTTCTTTTATAAATTTTATTCTTACATGAAACTAATCATATTCACTGAAATGTTAGGTTTAGTAGTAAAATGTAAAAAAATTTAGGGCAGAGAAGTTATATATATATATACAGATCAAGGTTAAAGAAGTTTTAATGGTGTTAGTTATTCTTGTAAAATGACTTGTTCCACTTGAACTATAGTTCTCATATGAAAAAACAGTTTTTATTTTTTTGAGTATGGGGGTAGGAGATTCGAATTTAGATATAATTTCAGGTTGTATATGCATTTACCATTAGATTATACCTTGGTGTGTATATGTAAAAACATTTTGAATGTGCTCATAATAGTAAAATTATTATTTTTAAATAATTATAAATAAAATGACTACAAAAAATATTAATTTTAATTATTTTTATGAAATTAATAAAGTTCAAATAAAATATAAATGCAACTCAGTTATCAACTCATAAAAAAAAACTTCAAAATGTAGTTGATGAAATCAACAACCAATTCAAACTTCTACCAACAACTATGCTAATTAAAAAGAAACACCTACAATGTAGCTATTGAACACAAATGAGTATTAGCAGGATGAATCGGTTGAATCAAATAGAGTGAGCAATTTTCGATTTCTAATCGAGAATCGAAACGAACCAAATCAAATCATTTCAATTATATCCGGATAGTTGTTTTAAAAATTCAGTTATTCATCAGTTTGGATATATAAAACTGTTTGCTTTTTGATTTTTGATTCGGTTAGCATATGTAATTTACCAAATTTATTTTTAAGCCTAAAATAACTAATTTGATTTGGAATAATCAAAATCTAAATGAAACCAAATCAATTTAATTCAATTTAGATAAATTATTATATCATTTAGTTCTAAATTAGATTATCATAAAAATATATTGGAATAGATCGAAACCGAGCTAATTCGGTCCAGTTAAAATCGAATGATGACCCCTGGAATAGAAACCAAATGCTTTCTAAGCTGTTAATGAGCTACCCCATGCTCAATCTTAAAGCAATTCGTTTGAATACCTTCAGTGAAGAAGTAAACATTAATAGGAGCTAAAACTTGATCCAAAACATATGGACTTCCAAGTTGTTCTTTAATGGAGCCTGCAACTGCAAGCAAAAATCCCATAAATCGATAAATAGGAGAAATACTCACTCAAAGGAAGCCCACTACTACTACACAACTTAAGAATACAGAGTCCAAAATCCTTCCTTTCTTTTCTTTCCCGCCATAACACAAATGACTGTAAACCGCAGCTTCTTCAGATCATCACTTTCTCTTGACAAGTTCCTAAAATCCCAGAAAAACCTCTCGAAACCTCCACCAAAACTGTTTCCTAGTAATCCCAAACTCCAAATTACATGCACAGATAACCATGATGTACCTGCATTAGATCTTAGTCATCCAGCTTTGCAAAAATTAGAACATTCATGCTCTAATGTCAAGCAATTTAATCAGATCCACACCCAATTTGTAGTTTTAGGCATCTTTAATCATCCCCTGGCTGCTGGTCGTTACATAAAGAAGCTTTGCGCTGCTTTAAATTTAGTTTCTCATTGCGTTTGTCTGTATGATCGTATTGAAGAACCTGATGCTTTCATGTGCAATACTATAATAAGAGGTTTTTTAAGTGTCGATGATCCATTTGCTGCCTTGAGATTTTACTATGAGAAAATGATTGCTAGGTGGGTTTTGCCTAATCATTACACATTTCCTGTTGTGGTTAAGATTTGTGCTGATATTGGATCTTTGAAAGAAGGTAAAAAGGCTCACGCTCATATTGTGAAATTTGGGTTTGAGTTTGATCTTTTTGTTAGGAATTCTCTTATGCATATGTACTCTGTTTGTGGGAGGGTATGGGATGCGCGTGTTGTGTTTGATAATGGTTTTGTGTTGGATTTGGTGAGTTGGAATTCCATGATTGATGGGTATGTGAAGAATGGAGATGTAAATCTCGCACGCGAGCTTTTTGATGATATGCCTGAAAGAGATGCTTTTAGTTGGAACTCAATGGTTTCTGGATATGTATGGTTAGGAAACATGGTGGAAGCTAAACAATTGTTTGAGAAAATGCCATTTAGAGATGTTGTATCCTGGAACTGTATGATTGACGGATATGCAAAAATAAAGAATGTTGAAATGGCTCGCTGGTTTTTTGACAAAATGTCCATTAGGAATGTGATTTCTTGGAATATCATGTTGGCTATGTATCTGAAATGCAAGGATTATGATGAATGTTTGAAACTCTTCAACAGGATGCTAGAAGAAAAAGAGGCCAGGCCAAATAAAGCATCTCTTGTGAGCGTATTGACTGTATGTGCGAATTTAAGAAAGCTTGATTTAGGAAAATGGATTCATTCTTATATTAAAGAAAATGGAGTTGAACCTGATGAATTACTCTCAACTGCTCTCTTGACAATGTATGCAAAATGTGGGGTCACAGACTTAGCTAGATGTGTCTTTAATGATATGCCTCAAAGAAGTGTCGTGTCATGGAATGCTATGATCATGGGATATGGTATTAATAGATATGGAGAGAAAGCCTTAGAGGTGTTCTTGGAGATGGAGAAGAATAGAATTATGCCAAATGAAGCTACTTTTGTTTGTCTTTTATCTGCTTGTTCACGTTCAGGATTGCTTTTAGAGGGTTGGTGGTACTTTGGTCTTATGCAAAGAAAATACAAGATTGGGCCCAAGGTAGAGCATTATGGTTGCGTGGTTGATCTCCTTAGCCAGGCAGGTTTAATGGAACCGTTAGAAGAACTTCTAAGGCAAATGCATTTGGAGGAAAAGCCAACTTTATTTGAGGTTTTTATGACTGCTTGTAGAACTTACCCATATTCAGAACTAGGAGAGTTAGTGGCGAAGAAACTAATCGAGTTGTATCCAAGGGATATTGCACCATATGTGCTGTTATTAAACATATATGCTGGTGCAGGGAAATGGGATGAAGTAGAAGAGATGAGAAATATAATGGAGCAAAAAGGGTTAGAAAAAGCAATATATTGTACCTTGGTTTCCATTGAAGAGTTGGGATCAGAATCTTATCTAAAACATGGTTCACTCCATCAGAGAAGCATGGTGCAAGCAATGCTGAGTGAGATTGCTGCTCAGATGAAATTGTCTTCTACATGTTCTAACAATGGTTTCTGAAAACCATGCGGGAATAAAACATCTTTGAAGGCAGACCATTAAAAAAAGAAATGTTTAACTGAGGATTTGCAAGGGGAGAGAGTACATTTTGGAAGGGTTTGGCCACAAGGCAGTGGGCAAAGATTTTTCAGACATTTTAAACAGCACATAGAGCCGAAGTGTAGAACATTGGAACAGATAAAGTAAGTATATCTAACTGCAATAATTCAGGATATGGCTGTACTGATCTCCGAATACCTGTGTTTAGCAAGTGAAATGAACAGTGGCATTGGCATATTGTTACAGCTTGTTGTACTTTCATGTGTCAATTTTGAAAATGGTAGTGTATTATACCAAAATTTTCCAAATAGGTTTAGAAAAGCAAAATTTTCCTCAACATATAGAGCATTCATGTCTTTTGGTTTTGATGAGAACAGATGAAACGACCAATTGCTGTAACTACAATTTTAATGACTTGATACAGTTTTATTATCTACTGTAAATTCTTTATGTTTGGCCAGTCATAACTTGCTATTAAATGTGATAATAAGACTGTAGTTTTTTCTCTAAAATTTAATAGTAACAGCAAGTTGGCGCTACCAAGTGAGCATAGTGTGATTGGTGCACCTACGGGAATCTAAGAGTTTGATACCTGGATCTTGCATCCCAAAAATAACTAAAGGTGGCATTATCAGAGATGCCTTCATTTATCCATCTCACTATCAAAGTTCTTTAACTTTTGGATAGTAACTTTTTAGGCTGAGATAGAATTTTGAACAGTGTCTCTTTTAATGGCAATAAAATTCTTGCAAACCACAGATCGGTTCACCTGACTTTCTGAATAGCCGTAATACTTTGTGCTTGAACCGATGTGATACTATTATAATATTGGCCTAAGACTAGGATACTGTTCTCTCTGATTATGGTTGCCTGGTTAGATTAAGAAGAAGAAAATCAGCTGAGTTTTGGAGTGTTTTACATTATTTTCAATTTATTTTGTGAAGCTGGGTGCCTATTTATAGGAAACATTCAATGTTATTTTTTAATTATTATTTACCCCCTTTATTGCTCCCTGTGAATGCCAACTGCAATCATCATCTGTTGAAAACTTATTGGTACATATCTTGGTTATGCACTAAAGAATGTCCAATTTGACAATATATCTAAAGAAACTAATCGGCTCTTTTCTTCATTGTAGTTAGCGATGTTGACATGTAAGCAGACATCTGTTAGGATACTTATAATTTTTTATTGGACTATGACATTATTACATTCATGAATTTCTGTTATTAAACTCCACCTCCTTTCTCGAATTAAAAAATGAAAAATACTCAAGTAATGTTTAAAATAAACATGTTAAAGAGCTACACATAAGAATTTATATGGGCTTATTTTCATGATAAAAAATCTATCTCATATAACTATATATTCACTTGTACTCCTATATCATATGTTTCTCCAGCTTTCCAGTCCTGGGGTATGTTGTTGACAGGAACAAGCCATTCCTCATCTCCATCCTCACTACTGAATAACATCCTTAGTGACAAAGGACCACTGGGGGGGGATGTAGTTGTCCACACTGCTCCATAACTCCGATCCAAAAGCTTACAGGCAAAGTTTTGAGTCTGCATATGACAAATTGATTTTGTTAGTAACAGTTTCTGTAATTTAGTAAAATCTGTCAGGAGTTTCCACATGATCTTGATGCAGTTTTTTTGTATGATGACCTAGGGACTACATACTGATGTATTTTGTATTCCTCCCATAGACATAACCCGAGTCTGAATCATGATCTAGAGAGAAGGCATCTTCAAATTTATCATGCTTCTTTCAGTAGTTGGAAAATTCATAATAATTTATGCTGCAATTTTTATTTTATTTTTCTATATATAAGTTTGTAGCCTCTGTAGGCGTATTTGATTTTAATGAAATTGAAAACTTGACATTCTACATCACATAGTTTTCTACTTGATTTCTATTATCTTTGTTTCACTCTATCATGGCATATCTGCTAATATTTTCTTCATCGCATTTCTGCTAATATTTTCTTCATCATGTGATCTATGACTAACCAGATTTAACTTGCATTTTAGCGGCACCTGTGACATAGTCCACGTGATTGTTGAATGAAAAATTGTGGTTGCAAAGAGCAGTCAAATTTTTAAGACCAAGAAGGTACTTTTAATATTACAGATATTGCATCACACCTCACATAGCTGCACAGCAGTAATATCACTCTTCCCTTGTTGATACCATATGACAAAAGCTAGATAGTGAGGATAATTGCTGTTCTCATCAATTTTGATTGTTATATTTTTGTTTGGATAGCTGCATGAAACGCTGCACGGAGACAGAGAGTTTTACATCAGTGACATTAAATAACATTAGGTTCTCACAAAATAAAATTAAGATTTTTCTTTCGTAGTAAAATAAAGAATACAGTTGTTATGTGGAAATGCTATCAAATGACAGTTCTTTATTTAAGTTGGTATATATTTAAGTCCACGGCCACATGAATGAATTATGGTATATTTCATTTCTTTCCTTTAGTTAGACCTTTTCCATGGTGAGTAAGAAATAAAAAAGCTTTTATGGATATCTCACCGTCTATATTCAATATCAACTATTCCAAGAGATAATAGTGATGCAGCTGCATCTGTGGTTTGAGCCATCCGACTAAAGGCTCGTCTGCTAAGAATAAAGTCAGTATTATCACTTGAACCTTGGTCAGTTATAACAATAGTTACTCCTTTGTCTGCACAATAGTTACTGTTGGTGCACCTCACCTGGGAAAGAAAACAAAATCATTATGTTCCTGTATATTGAGAAAACCTGAACAGTCAGGGCATTTTGTACTTCAACAAAAAACTTTGATGCTTTAATTGATACCTGATAGCAAGCACCACATCCAACACCATCACGATAGAGGTTAGAAGCAGCTGACACATCCCCACCATTTATTGTTGCTCCGAATGAACCAAATCCACATGCACCTCCTAGAATTCATATAAAAAACTGTAAGAACAACATGCTTAGCATTAAGTATATCAGACTTGTCTTTTGTAATTTTCATTTTGATGAAACTTCTTACTCTCTGTTCCTTGTTCATCAGAATTTGGATAGTAAGCTGCTCGAGAATGAACAAAACAGTCATTACATGTTGCAGCCTCTGCCAGATTCTGCATAAAGAATAAAATTGCAAGGAGCAAAAAGGACCGAAGAGAGGAAGCCATTATATGGTTTAAAGCAAAAAAGCAATGAAAGAAAAGATGTGTTGGTAATGCATGGAATGGATGAGGTATGTAGTACTTATAGCAAAACAACCATCAAGCATTTTTGGTTTGGTAAACCTTGCAGGGTTTGACATCTTAATAAAATATTATTCTAAATAAGTGGAATCTGTTAGGACTGTTTTCAAGCTCCCTTCTTAGACTTGGAATTACTTGTTTTATAAAATTTTAAAGAATTAGTTCATACCTTTTAAATTCTATCGGACTTCTCTTGCCTTAATGAAGTCTTTGGTATTAACAAAAAGTCTTTAGTTAATCTGGATTTCAATATGAAATATTCAATAGATCAATTTCAAATTCAATGGTCATCATTTTCAACTAATACTCTATTAATCTCTATCAGGTATTTCTAATTATGCTTTTTCCTTAATTACTTCAGTTTCTGTGGATGTCCTTATCCAAAGAACCTTGGTATGCATAGAATGTGGAAAAACATGGTAGCTATTGGACCACGATGTATGATTGATTTCAGGATTGAGAGAGAGAGAGAGAGAGGAAGGTATTAGATGCGGCTATGTTGTTGTATGTTGAAAGCAAAATTGCAAAGATTGGATACTTTTAATCAACTTGGCTTGATAGAAAAGTTAAATAGAGAGTTAGGTGCATCTGCACTGAAAAACTCTTAGGTTAGGCATCTTTTTTTGATGTTCCCACTAATTATATGATCACATGAGATTTAATTTCCTGGGTTCAGCACCTATAAGGAAAACACCAATATATAATTAGAAAAACACCAATATATAACTATACTAATATATATATTAGTATCAGCATTTTAAAAATTAAAAAAGGTGTGCTGGAAGCAATGGAGGCAAAGTTTTTAGAATAAAGAAATTCTATCAAAAACAGCTAGCATCATAAAAGACTATTTAAGATATGACAGAATTTCTAGGAAGGATAGGTGTATATAATGCTATATTGTAGAAGTCAGATTCAAACTGTTTCCATTGAATTTAATACAATGCCATAGAAGTTGTTCAACCTTTCAAAGTTCACTGTAATATATCTTCAGTTTTACTTGTTGGACTTGCCATCTTCTGATAAATTTTTTATTGTTCCTTACGCTCAGGAATTTATCCAAAGGTACATGACTGGACATTTTGTTGACAGGCTGAAGCAGACACGAAAACAGTATGCCAATATAGACTGGCATAAAGAGTCTATTTAACAACATCAGGCATGACATGGAAACCATTATAGTGTCTTTCTGGATCCCACTTGCGTCAGCATCCTTATTGAAATGAAGGGAATAAACTTGCATTTTCAGAATTTTGAAAAGGATAATAATGCAGTGCCTTTTATGAATATGCAGAATTCTTCTGTAGAACCTACTCATTCAGGGCTTGAAAAGACTGTGGCCGACCAACTAATTTAGCTATAGATGTCAAAGATAGATGCTACTGGTACCAAACATATATAGATGCTACTTCAGGGAAGCAGAATGATGTAGAAAACTTGAAATTGACAGAAATCCAAAAAAAATTTTCAGAACTAGGGAAAATGGATCATTTTTTGAACTTCTAAAATTCCAAATTGTTAAGAAGGTAGAGATCGAAGATTTCCAAGTGAAGGGAATAACTTCTGGAAAGGTTTGGACTCAAGGTTCTCAGCAGAGATGTTGTGAATATGCTTAAATGGCACGTATAGCCAAAATAGAACGTTGTTAGTATTAAAGAAAAAGGTGTGCAACTGCAACTTGTTGGAATAAGCCTACCCTGATCTTTGAAAATTGAACAGGTCTTTTTGGGTTCTTTTCTTTTTTTTGAACTTCTCAGTCCATGATGCTTCAACTCATTTTATTTTACATCTCAATCTGAAAAACAGCTACGTTTTATTCCTTTCTCCACTATGATCCAACTTTAACCTTGAATTTTGTGAAAGATGAAACTTTACCCCCACCAGAGATTCTTGTCTTTGAGATATATAGAAATGAACAAGTCCTACTTTAAACCATGGTTTGCTCTTTCATTATCTTCAGGACCCTTTTCATTTTGCTAGTCTTATTCATGTGTAATGTGTAGAAAATCAATATTTTCTGCTGTTCAATTTGAAAGTTAAAGCAAGATGGAATTACCTCAGATGTTTTCAGTTTGTTCAACTTACCAACAGCCCTTTTTTTAATCTTTTGAACAGTAACTTTGACAGGCCAAGATAAAGTATTGAAACTATGGATACAAATCTTCATCGATGGGAAACAAAATACTATCGAAATCCAAGGCCAAGTACTCGATCAACCTTTTGAACTTCTGCAAGTCCTTGTGTTTCCACCATTCTGCTTGCATCCTCTTTTTTGACTTCGTAGCCAAAGATGGCAACAAAATTAATTGATTTTTAGAATTATGCTTAGACCAATCAGGTTAAGTAGGTGACATCACTCATCAGCTGATTATCTGTTTACATTTTACTTGTTCTTAGGTTCAATATGTGGAACTAGATACTAATTTATTCTAAAATAGGTAGATTCAGGTGGTTTTAAGTGTTGGCTATTGATATCATTTTTGTGAAGGGACTTTGTCATTTCTTTAACTCTTTATGCATAAATCCCAACAGTAACAAAGTTTTTTATACATGTTAAATGTCTAAAACTTTATATCTATAAACGCACTAACAGATGTTCAACTTGAAATATATCTCAAGGAACAAGTCGGCTAGCTCTTTTTCTTTACTCTATTTTGGGATGTTGACATTTAGGCGGACTTTCTATTTAAAATATAAAGGGAAATAAAAAGATCTGAAACTTCGGAATTTTTTAGAATACAGTGGGTTTTAGGGGTCGGCACTGAAATGATTACATTCATGAACTTCTCTTATTAAACTCTATCCCCATCTTGAGATGAAGAAAAGAAATACAATAAAATAAAATATATTTAACAGCTACACAATAAGATTTATATTTTCTAGGGACTTGTTTGGCGAGAAAAATAGTCAGACTAAGATCATCTGATTATATGTTCACTTGCACTCCTGTATCATATGTTTCTCCGGCCTTCCAGTCTTGGGGAATGTTATTGACAGGAACAACCCATTCCTCATCATCTCCATCTTCACTACTGAATAACATCCTCAGCGACAAAGGTCCGCTTGGGGGTGATGTAGTTGTCCATACGGCTCCATAACTCCTATCCAAAAGCTTGCAGACAAAATTTTGAGCCTGCAAATTAGTTTTGTCAATAAACTTTAATTAGTATCACAGTTATCATAATCATGATTTGATAAGGCTTTTCCTTTTTTAATATTAATGGGACCTAGATGCTACTTTTACTTGATTTAAGTCTTCTTCACTTTATATATTAGAATTAACTAATGCTTTTGGCTGATACACTGTTCACATGGTAGTTGAGAGAAAAATGAAGTTGGCGAAAAGAGCAACCACAGTTGAAGATTAAGAAGGTAAATTTTTTTTTTTTTGCTTTTTCTCTTCACATTTGAGATAGTGCATACCTCACATAGTTGCACAGCAGTAATGTCCCTCTTTCCTTGTTGAAACCTTATGACAAAAGCCAAATAATGAGGATAGTTGCTGTTCTCATCAATCTTGATTGTTATATTTTTGTCTGGATAGCTGCATGAAACACTGCATGGACAGAAAAGTTCCATTATAGCATAATACTTAATTAGCATTAAGTTTCTCAGAACATAAATCGCAGACGAAATTTCTCTTTCTTAGTAAAAATCATGGTAATAACAAATTTCTAAACATATTTTTAAACTGTTTAAATCTCAATCCATGTCAAAGAACGATAGCATTTTGATTTCCATCTCTTTTTTCGGGTTCTGCTGTGTTTAATAATTGCCCTAATGGAATTTAATGTATTTTTAATCCAACGCTTGGACTAAAAATGCATTTGCTCTCACTATTCACATTTCATTACGACATTTATCAAATACTGCCACAAATGCAGTTTCAAGTAGCTTTTTGCAACAGAATCTAAAATAGTACTTTTTTAGAAAAAACAGTTCCAAGCTTTGTACTGAGAAGACACTTAATACGTGTAGTATGTGTAATCTCACCGTCTATATTCAATACCAACTATTCCAAATGATAGCAGAAAAGCAGCTGCATCTACATTTTGAGCCATCCGACCAAAGGCTTGTCTGCTGAGAATAAAATCTGTGTTATGACTTGAGCCTTGGTCAGTTATAACAACATTAACTCCTTTGTCGGTGCAGTAGTTGCTGTCAGTGCATCTCACCTAGTCAATTAATTAAATAGTCATGTTAAACAAATATTTAGATGTTTAAATCAAACAAATAATGCACTAAATAACACCGGTATGAAATTGTGATGACTTTATTCATACCTGATAGCAAGCACCGCATCCAACACCACCACGATAGAGATCAGATGCAGCTGATACATCTCCTCCATTTATTGTTGCCCCAAAAGAACCAAATCCACAAGCACCAGCTGAAAAAGAAAATAAAAATGAGATTGTCAAGCAGATGCAGGCTTTTGTTTCTCTCTTTGTTTATGTTAGTTCATTTCATTAAAATTTTCTTACATTCTGTTCCTTGTTCATCAGAATTTGGATAATGCGCTGCTCGAGATTGAATGAAACAGTCACTACATGTTGCAGCCTCTGCCAAAGTCTGCATATAAAGCAGACTAATAAAAGGAAGCAGAACAGACCGAAGAGAGGGAGCCATTATACAATACAATAAGCGAAGGTGAGAAAAGGAAAGAAGATGAGTTTTTATTGCATGAAGTTGATGAGGTGTGTACTATTTATAGCAAAAGAAAGCATTCAGCTTCTTTAGTTTGGTGACATTGCCAAGTTTGACTTTTTCTGGTATATGTTAGACCAAGTGGAATTCTGTCAGGTTGTTTTCAAGCTACCTTCTTAGACTTGGAATTACTCTTTTTACGGCTATATGACTTGTTTCTTGCCTTGTTGAAATCCTTGGCATTAAAATAAGTCTTTTTTTGATATGGATATCCAGTGTGATATATTCTATTCACTTGATCAAATTCAAAGTTTCATCATTTTCAACTAATACCCTGCTTTTCTCTATTAGATGTTCCTAATGATGGTTCATTCTGCTTTCATTTTACCTCTTCTTGGCATTAATAGAAAATATTTGCCTACAATAGGTATTATATTCATTCCTCCTATACTTAGCTAATAGTTGATTGTCAGTTTTTTTTAAATTCATTGAAGGCTTTTATAGGCCGAAATAACACTGCATGCTACACAATAAAGGGTAGTCCTCCCCTTGGCTCACCAAATTGGTGAAAACACCTGTGGTCGAGAGGACTAAAACTTGAGACCTTTAACTCCTCACTGAAGTGAGAAGACCAAATAGTTGATTGTCATTCAAAAAAGTATCGGTCATTTAACAATATATTGTCCCCTTTTATCCCCAGGGAAAATATATTTACACTCTTAGGGTTTATTCTAAAAGCTATTATAAAAGCTATATTAATGAACATTACAATTAATAGAGAAGACAAAACGCCGAAAACTAGTTCAAAGTGGTTACCAAACAGGCCTTATTTGAACAACTTTTATCATTTTTAGATTTGCCGCAGTGGTGCACCCGTATAGGTTAGTATTTCTAGGGATTAAGAATGTCTGCAAATATGAACTATCATATTTAGTTAATCTCAGCCTTTGAGATTTTATTCTTCAATAAATAACTACTAATTCCATGGAAATTAAAAATTAATCTCTATTAAAAAAATCTCAATGCTCATTGTCAATTCAAGGGTTGAGATTACACAAATATTATAGGTCAAGTTTGTCTGTTTGTGCAAAGATGAGAGAATCCAAACTTTTTTTTTTCCTTTTTATCATCAAAAAGCATCTTAAGGATCTTATCTAAAAAAAAAAAAAAAAAAAAAGCAATCTAAGGATCTTATCTTAAAAAAAAAAAAAAAAAAAAAAAGCATCTTAGAGATATTCATAGAATGTGGAAAATACATGCTAACTATTGAACTACTGGTCCACGACCATGATGTTTGATTGTTTTAGGGGGTGAGAGAGAGAGAGAGAGAGAGAGAGAGAGAGATGAATTGCAATAGGCTGAATGTTGAATCCAAATAGTGGATAGTTTAGGACAACTTGACTTGAAAGGGGTATAATTGGAAGGACAAATAATTAGGTACGTTTGCACCAAACTGCCCTTGGATTAGGCATTAGGCATTAGGCATATCTCTTGATTTTTTTTTCCACCACTATTGAATATCACATGAGCTTAATTTGATTTCTTGGGTAGGAAGTTTCAATGGAAACTGGGAGTGGGCTGATGGACAGAGGCAAAGAGATCTTGTAATGCTTGGTACATATGTTGTCTATAGGTGAGCAATACTCGGTTTCTAGTTGAACAAAACCAAATCATTTTTTATCGGATTTAGATAGTTATTTTAAAAATTCAATTATCTATTAGTTTGGATAAAAAAAAACCATTTAATTTTCGGTTTTGGTTCAATTACTGTATATAACTAATCAAATTTATTTTTAAGGTCAAAATAGTTAATTTGATTTGAAATAATCTAATTCAAACTGAATTAAAATTAATTTGATTTGATTAAATCTGTTTTTAAAGTATTTGGTTCCAGATTCAATTTATATAAAAATGCATTCGATTAAAATTGAGCTAATTCGATTTGGTCAGACTCAATTAATGGAATGTTGATCTCTAAATTGATGTATATATCAACAACAGTATATAAATGTTTTAATTATGATCTGAAATATTCTTAAACCATTCGTGTACCGAGTATTAAAGATATAATTTTTTATATGAATTTGATTTGATATACCCAAAATTATTTGTTGAATAGCTTCAAAATACTTTCCAACAGACATACCTTTTATAATACTCATTACATTATACATACTGTTAATTAAACTATATTACATTCTATCATGGTTTATCAAATCTAGACTTAACCGTATTTAATCCATATATTAGATTTGTCTGACACTCTTAATTAATATTCTCTCTGTCCCATTTTTTTTTATTATTCTTTTCTTTTAGATGTCCTTTATGAATATAAATAATTATTTCCTTAATTAATATTCTCTCTGTACCATTTTATTTGGTTGTTATTCTTTGTTTTAGATGTCCTTTATGAATATAAATAATAGATGTCTTTTGAATATAAATATTATTTCCTTACATTAATATTTCTCTGTATGCATGTTTTATTCTGGTTGTTCTTACTTTATTTTAAAGATGCTCTTTATGAATAATAATCATTATTTTTTTTATGATGTCCTTTATGAATATAAATAATTATTTTTTTTATGATAAATAATTATTTTCTCATGATAACATTTATAATTGTTCATTAAATGAATGACTTTTATTAATATCTTAATGCTTTAAGGGTAAAAAATAATAAAATAATTTTTATTGACTAAATTCTTATTATACGTTTTTGTCAAACCATGCAAACAAAATCAGACGGATGGAGTACTGAAAGTTAAAAAATCAAACACTAATTTCTAATGACCCATTGTCAAATTATATCATCTATTCTTGCTTGTTTCTTAAGCTCAGGAATTTTCGCAAAAAACTAACTGGACGGCTTGTTGGAGGAGCAGACGCGTAAACAGCATGCTGACGTAGATCGGCAAGTAGGGAGTCCAAGGAACCACATCAGCAGTGACATGGAAACCATTTTAGGACGAGGGACCACTTCTTGATCAAGTTTGTTTGTTTTATGGGTTTAAAACAAACCTTGCCTTTAGCTACCTATCTATATGATAAATAAATGTGAGAATAGGAGTGGCAAAATGGAATTCTCTATAATATCCTTAGATTAATTTTGAATTTCTAATATATTCATTTAGTTAGATTTTTATGCATTTTAACCGGAGAAACTATTTAAGTTTATCCTTTTAAAGATTATTTTAGTTGTATTTTTTTATTGTCTTTTAATTGGAGAAAATAGATTACATTTTTCTTTTGAATATCCTTTTAATTAGATTTTTTTATGCAATTTAATTGGAGAAAATATGTATATGTATTTTGATCTACTTGATCTTGCATTATTATTGTCCAATTATTTTTATAATTAATAGATTTTGATATTTTCTTATTGTCTTTTAATTGGAGAAAATAAATTCCATTTTTCCTTTTGAATATTCTTTTAGTTACATTTTTTATGCATTTTAATTGGAGAAAATATGTATATGTATTTTCTCTATTTGATCTTGCATTATTATTGTCCAATAATTTTTATAATTAATAGATTTTGTGTTCTTAATATAATGTTCTTCATGTTTGATATTTTCTCTATTTGATCTTGCATTATTATTGTCCAATAATTTTTATAATTAATAGATTTTGATGTTCTTAATTATAAGTTCTCATGTGATATTACTTTTTAGAAGATAAATCAAAAATCTTAATTCATATCTTGAAAATGAAATTTAAAATTTTTTTTAATTAATTATGTTCTGAATTTTTTAAAATATGGGTAAACACTTTATTATTAGACTCTATTAGTTAAATATAATGAACTAAAATAATTTTTTTTAAATATATTCTTTCTCTTTGATTTTTTTGGAGATGATGGTGTACTCTTATTTGGATTATTTACATATTATTGTATTTGACTAATATAATGTAAAAAAAAAATTTCATTTTTTAATCTAATGAAATCTTACTAAAAAATACACTATAAAGTTTGAATTAATAAAAAAAAAAGGTTATTTGGGCATATTTGCTATCATTTTCATTTTCAGTTTTTCTATATTAAAGATGAAATAATGGAAAAAAATTCAAGAGCTCTTTTTTTATTCAATATTTTATTCTTTTTTTTTAATTTATACAATTTTATTTAATTTTTATGATTTAATTGGATGTATTTTTTAAAAAATAATTTTTAAAATAAATATAGAGATAATTAGACATTTGAAATTTAAAATTGTAAAAATAAGTAAATCCAATTGTCAAATCAAATTATTACTCCTTCTGTTCTCTTCATTTAGAGAAAACAGAAAATGCACAGAGATTAAGTTAAACTAAATTTTTTTCTTTTCATTTTTTGGCTAATGTACTCTAATTTATATTAATTGCTCCATTAATTATGAGAGAGCCGGCTCACAAAAAGAGAGTCCCGAGGACACATTTATTTAGCAATTAATGCTTGAAAATGAAGGGAAAGTTTAAAGAAATGATATAATGATTTTAAGAATTTAAAATTTCCAAATTTGATTTTTACGGTTTGGAAATTTGATTTTCACTCATTTTACATCAACATTGAGTGTTTTCAATAATATGTGTGCAAATTAACGAAAATATGGAACTAAAATTTTTGGCTATTACAACTATCTTCAACTTTTATAATATGGCCACATGTAAATTTTGACCAAACCTAGAACATGTAATTGCATTCACACCATTTTCGAAAATAAGGGTAAAAGGCAACTACATTTGCGACGTCATGAATCCAATATTTTTATTTGATCTTAATGACATTCTAACTGAATCATGCACATATTTTGAAAATATGCCCACTACTTTTCAACTACCAGGCTTGAACTACTTACTTGATGATGAAGAATGTGTTATCGTTGTTACCGACACTAATCCATCCCTAAATGTTGTTCCAGGTAATAGGAAAAAAAGGAAACAAAAACAAAAGCATTCTTGATAATGTTATTAACCACCATGCGTTTGATTGAGATGCAACAAAGTAATCTAAATGTGCGCGGTTATGAAAAAGTTACGGCCATATTCAATATTTCTATGAAGATAG